CTAAGTCCGATGTCAAATATATATATATATCAGAAGTACTGTACACTTTCAGTAAGTTGTTTTAAGAATTACAAAAAACGAAAGGGGCCAAATTGGTCTTTTTAGTGTAAAGTCTGATAACTTTATTACATAAAATATTTCCTAATCTTTGTGTATTTATCTGGCTAGTAAGCCTTTTTAATCACGAAATAAAGTAATTATTCATCATTTAGGTACGGAATTTAGAAAATATTTTAAAGAGAGGTAGCTCTTATCTGAAAAATATTCTTTTTATGACTTGGAAAAGAATATAAAGGATAATTTAAAATTAAATATTGTTTTCTATTCCTTTCAAAGTATGAATCAGAATTAAAGGTTTCTTCCCATTCCATCAAGTACGTGAACTGAACTGAAATAAATAGCCATAATTTTTTTTTTGTTTTAAATATTAATTCGAAATAAACATGTGGATTATATTTATACGAACCAAAGTAAACAAAACATCAAAAACTAGTGCATAGGAAAATGACTAATAAAATTAGAAAATGATAAGTAAATATGTTTATATTAATCAAATAAATATATAATAAACCGTTAGGAAAGTTTAAAGTTTTCAATAAGTTTTTAGGGGTGTAATTTAAATTTGTTATAAATTGAAATAGACCATGAAAATTAAGACAACATAATAATTTAAAATAAAATATTTGTTTTTATTTCAATTATTTCCATAATACCTTTCCATGGCTGATGATGAAAAATGTATCTCCTGTTTCTCCTTGACGAATTATGTACTCAGAATCAGGATAAAAGTCCTAAAGTAAATTATAAAGATTAATTTTATCAAAGGTAAAGTTAAGCAAACTGTTTTGTTTGAAACAATTTACGCTTCGCTTAACATTTCTAATACTTTTTAAATTGCTTCTTTGAAATCACTTGGTATATTTAAATTATTGATTTCACAAAAAAGGTGTCTTAGATTGAACTACAAAAGCGAATATATTTATGTAAAAATGAAGTTTAGAATATGAAAGACACGTAAAGACAATTAGGTAGTTTTAAATTTTTAATTCCTTTATAAACAATTTTCTTAAAATTTGCAGATAAATACACCTTATTTTAGAATGCTTTTTGCAATCTCGATTTATTGACTTCAGGATTTTAATAGCTAATAAACGAATTTGGAAAAATAGGAGCAAACTTTTAAAATAAAAAAAAATTAGTTTGTTTTAGGAACATTTAAAACTTAGATGTTGTTAGTTGTTATTTGTATTTTTAGAAAAATTCTAAGCAATGTAAAAGAAAAAAGATTTTTAATTTTTGAGTATACAGGTATTATATAAATACCATCTTTAAAAATATTTTTATAATCTTTTTCAAAATTGATACACAAATACATTATTATTCTTCAAGTGTGCAAAGGCGAGATTAAAAAATGAAATATTCATCCTAATCTTTATAGAGGAATACGGTATTAAAAACATCAAAACCAGTTTAGTTGATAAGTGAAACTAGGAAGTGTTTATGAAACCTTTTTCATATCTCCTCTGTTTTTCTGGCATTTAAACTGGGTTTGATGTTATAATATTACCTTTTTCGTGTTTTTTTTCTCACTTAACTATTAATTTACAATCTTTATTCTGTTACTCACTTCACTGCTTGAAATTTCTCGGAAAATATAGTTAAATAATATATTTTTTTTTAAATTTTATTTTCCCGAATTCAACCAAAACAGACAAATAACCATAATAAGGATGATTTTCAAACTGTTAACTGTGAAAAATTGTTTATTGAATGTTTCGCCTAATATCGTTAAACAACCAGAATTTCATCCGTGCCAGATAAGCCCACAACCATAATAAATCGAGCTCACGTTCATCAAAAACTGGAAGCTAAGCTATGTGATAAGGATTATGAATCCCTATGACTTACCACACTCATAGTAATCATCGCGTAATATGAATTAATATTACATATACAGTGGAGCATCGTTTATACGACGGTGAAGGGACCACCGATAAACGATAACGTCGTATAATCGATTTTTATTTCTAAAACTGAAACTAACTCTGTTTTCAGTTAATTTTAATGTTTAACGTGTTGATTTACATAAATTTCTAAATTAGACAAAGCAAAACAAACAAATAACCAAAGAAGAAAAATTGCAGTGAGCAGTTTGAATGTATGTTACCTTTAATTATATTTTCTTGCTATTAGTCTCTACAATGCTTTGAATAGCGAGTTGAACTTACTGCTTTCTATGATGCAATTTTAGATTTCTAATCACGGCCAAATCTAATGGCTGAAGCGCACTTGCGCAATTTGCAGGAAAAAAGAGAGCTTTTACATTTTCCAAAATAATTAGTATCGATGGGTGCGCTGGACATTGGTCGATGAATAGCAAAGTTTTTAGTTTTTGCCTCTTCATAATATTGTCTAGTTTTTTCAGTCATCTAGTAAAAATTATGGTCGTCATCCAAGCATTCTTGATGGCACCCTTTTCTGTATCATTCATGTTGGCAAATGCCGCCTTTTTTTAAAATACACAAGAAAAAATAAAAAATTAAATAAACGTGAACAAAATCTAAAAACCGACGTATAACCGATTCTGTGCGTCGTATAAACGATACATTTTTGCATTAAAATGAATAAGAATGATTTGGGACCACACTAAAACGTCGTATAAATGTAAACGTCGTATAAGTGATCGTCGTATAAACGATGCTCCACTGTAGTAATAAATGGCAAATATGAATTTACATCACACACTTATTACCAAAAGATTCATAGGCAAAATTGGATGCCTAGTAATCTTGTGGTAATAAGTATGTAGTGAACATCTTATAAAGTAACTTAGTTCTTTGCAGTTGGGTACATATTTTAGCTTAAACGGCAAATCTGTCAATCTCATTACCGGCTGAATAGGGTTCAAATTCTGGCTTTGGCCCCACAATATTTCCTCAATTTTTTCAACACATGAGGAGTTTCCAGTGCCTTGCACTCTTCAATTGGTGATGCTGGGCTATTGGAATGTATAACTTTCATTTACGTATAAATGGCAACAACGCAGAGATGCTTAACACGAAATAATTCAGTATTTTCCATCTCTTACTACAAATTGTAATACGAGACAAACTAATTAAGCCAGAATCCAACCTAATTTCCTTACCTAACAAAAAGCCTAACATACCTAAGTCCGATGTCAAGTTAAATTTCATTTTTACAGTTTGAAGCTTTATTTTTCGCAAATATTCACAAAATCATGTAGTTTTGTATTCACAGTTTTTTAATCTTACCATTCGTAAATGGTTTCAAACCTTATAGGTTAAAGAAATGTTTTTTAGTTGTAAACTTTATTATCAATTCGATGAAAAGGCAGTTCCCGAATTTTTTTAATCGTAGTTTTAGAATGAAAATTCTAACAGTATTGTTGTCATCTTTGACAAGAATTTTAGCAAAATAAATTGAGGATGGTGATTATGAAATGTCTTGCCATAGCTGTTCTTTTTTTTTTTAAAGAAAAGCGATTAAATGAATTATAATTTGTAAATTATTACAATGATTAATTTTGTTTTCATTTTTATTGAGGCGAAATTCTGGTGTGCACAGGCTTATTTAAATTGAAAAAAATAAATGGAAGAAGTGAAACAACATCATTGACTTCCAGTGGAATACAAACATTTAAAGTAATAACACCTGAAAGCTATAATTTTTGCGTTGAATAACGTTGTCATAAATTAGTAATCCACTTACTGTGTCTAATATACGATGGTAACGCATGCAAAATTATACATATTAAAAACAAGTAAAAAGGATAAATGAAATTCGATTAAATTTGCAAGCCTTAATATTAAATTTGAAAATTTTTTTAAAGTAATTTTCAAACATTCAATTGTGATATCCATGGCAATTAATCTTTTGACTTAAAGTCATAAAAGCTTCAAAAATTTAAAATATATAATAATTACCACTTCCAGTACATCAGCCATTTTAGAAAGAACTTCATTGTTGAGATTCCGCAGCAATGGAACGCTAAGAAAACAAAATTTAATGAATAAATTCTTGAACTGCATCGATTTATTCCAATTAAACTTTTTAAACGAAACATCCGTGAAATTAGTTTTAAACAATGTTGTTAATTAGAAACTATTGGTATAAACTTTGAATTAAAAACTTAAATTCTCTGCAGTAACAAATGAAATATTTTACTTAGTCTTAACATTTTTGAAATGATGGAGTTGATTTTTAAAAGTTGTTTAACAAGAATTCTACATTTTATTTTCCATTAAAATACATATAAAAAAAACATATGGATTTTGTTGCATAATAATAAGTAATCGCAACAGTTGCAAAAATAATTTCTCTAGCAACATTTTATTTAAAAATTAATTTGCAATGAATGCTTAGCTTTTACTTGGAATATTAATATCTTACTCCAAGATAAATACGAGTGAATAAACTTCAATTATTTAAATTAAAAAAAGGATTACATTGCAGAAATAATGTTTGCATTTTCATACTATAAATTAAAGGAAAAAATTAAAGAATGTAACTAATAATTAAAGATAGAGTTAGAATGACTGATATTAACATGTGGTTGTTTTGTTTTGGATTTGTGGATTATCTTGCACAAGTTATGAGGAATTTTTATTTATTATTGCTCTTAAATCGATATAAATTAGTTTAAAAATTTAATTATTGATTTTTTAGAGTAAATAATGCGGCATTAAATTGTAAATGTCGATGCAAAATTAATCTGCACTCTCAGGATAATCGGTTCAACATTGAATCATAACATAATAATAATATAGAACAAATCTGCTGCAAACTCTAAAAGGTGTTAAATTAAATTATTTTTTCATTCAAGTTGAATCATACACGGAGAGAAAATTCAGGTAAAATTACCCTATTGTAGGGTAATAACATTTATGTTTAAAAAATAATATAATTATGATTAATAAAACAAAACAAAGCAAAATGCACGCTATTTAAATCATTCATAGACTATTTTTTCCGTTCATATAGTAATGGTATATCGGAAAATTCAGATTTTCAAAATTACAGTTCGTGTTACCACTCGTTTTTAGTATCAAATACAAAACTGAAAAGTAAATTTTACCGAATAAATTGCTTTTTTACCATGCCTTAAAAAATCATGATAAAATTACCAAATTTTATCACATTTACCAAGCTTTAATACTTATTACAAAACAATATTTTATTGTAAATTTTACCAAAATCATTACCAAGACCTTTCGGTAAAAATTACCGTGCTTTTCAATGTTCCCATAGAGCTAGAAACACGGTAAATTTTACCATATTCTTGAAAATTTGACCATACTTTTTTTTTCTCAGATTATTGTGTAATCAAGTTTAAGAAGAGTTACAGTATCTGGCTTAAGGTATTGGAGCTAATAGTGATGCTGTTTTTTATTGTTTATTAAATGTATCTAGAAATGTTTCAAATCTCATTTGTTTATTTGTTTACATTTATTTTTATGCGAGAATGAACTTTTAAGAAATTAAACGAAAAATTAAATGGTTATTTTTAGGTAAAAATAAGACATTTGCTTTCATTTTGCGACAAACGCTCTAAGTTTTTATAGCATAAAATGAAAAATCCTACTGAGATCGTATTCAAAAAGTTTTGCTAATAATAAAAATGTTTTATTTTTTTTTTGAAAAAGAAGGTAAAAATGTTTAGAAAATCTGTTGTAATAATGACTTCTGTTTAAAAATTTTCAGTTCAGTGAATTCATAGGAAAAAAAAGAAAAAAAAAGTATGATGTAATATGATAAAGTATAATTGCGACGTTTCTGAAGTCGCATACGATAAGCATTTTTTGTCATTTCCCCCCCTGAAATATAACTCAAAATTTTACGATAAAGTATGATCGTGACGTTTCTGAAGTCGTATACGATAAGAATTTTTTGTAATTTTTTCCCCTGAAATATATCTCAAAATTTTACGATGCGTTGTTTGGTTAGGCTGGCAATCAATTTATGCCCAAAAGGTTACTGTTCAAAGTAAAAACATCAACTTTCACACGAAATTTCAAAATTTTAAAATTTACTTAAAAATTATGCTTTAAGTATAGAAAAACCGAAAGATTATTTTCTAAAAATTTTAGATTTCAGGATCAAAAGGATTGATTGAGAACTGCTTATGTTTAAGTGATCACCGATATTTTTTTCAAAAAAATAGTTTTTAGGAAATCGTATTCAGAAGTTTAAAGTAGAATTTCTGAAAACAACACATTTAATTGAAAATTAATCATCAATTTTTACTTCCAAAAAATCGCGTAAAACAATATTTCAACTTTTTTAACGTATTCAAGTGCATGTAATTTTTATTTATATATGTGAGTTTATTTAGTTTAAAAATGTTCTCCAAAGCATTTTTATGTCATGTATATAATGTTTTGTTCTAAAATTTTTGCTAAATGTAATTTCCCTGAATAAATTTTAACTAGGAACGCAACAATATAAAGAAGGACGAAATGCATTTCGAATAAAAGATCAAGCACGGAATGCTAACGTAGTTCGTATAACCACCTGTGCCGTAAGACCTTATCATAATAAAAAAAGTAACAGATTATTCCATTTCATAACCAAAAAGTAAATAAAAACATTGCGTTTATAAGAAAGAATCGGCGCTTTCAAAACTTAATGCAAGTTTACAGGAAAAATAAATATAATAATGCAATATAAGAATAGAAAGTAATTTGTGTTATTTTACCTCTTCAGATCTCAAATAATAGATTTTCGAACCTGTCTCTTTAAACATTTTAAATTAATTTCAGTTCTAGTAAAATAAATTATCAAATAAAAAATTCTAATCAATATTCTTGCCTAATTCATCGGAAAAGTTTAATTTTCAAATAGTACTAATGAATGATTAAAATTATTTTTTTGAGTTTGTTTCTTTTGAATTTCATCACTGGCATTAAGTATTCTGTTAATTATGTAACTTGTAACCCTTTTAAACCACTGCACCGCTTATCACAGAGGGAAACACCAAAACTGTTTGAATTTTAATACCGATAACTCGCAAACCAAAATCAAACCACTTGGTAAAACATGGTAAAGTACAAAGTTTGAGCAAAATCGGTCGAATAGTTCCTGAGAAATAAAATTTAAAAAAATACGACTTTTTTCAAACTTGTCTTTCTTAGGATATAGTCATCTTATTTCGTCAAATTTTCCAAGATGATTTAGATATTAAAACCTTTGCTTTAAATGAAGAGGGAAAAAACAACTGGATCAGTTTTTTTCTAGGAAAGAACAAAAATTTAATGAAGATAAGAGAATTCCAGAAAAAGGGCAAAAGGTATTGGTACAGAATGGACAATATATTATTTAATAAAATATGTTTTTACTATACGAAAATCGCCTTTTATTTTCATTAAAAATAGACATTACTTTACAGACAACTCAATAAATTTGAAAAATTCGTTGTGAATTAAAGAATAATATGGTAATAAGTTTTAAGGTAACGATATCTAGATAAAATTAATATCTTTCTAATTTCATATAAGCTCAAAATGTTTACATTGTTTTATTTTGACATTCCAAGCAATTATAGCTAAAAAAGATTTGCAATGATTTTTTTCACATCAACTCATATTCTTTAAAGATTAATCTTAACGTTGAACTGCAATATCAGTATAATGAACCATAATACCTAGCAAATCATCTCTAACTGTAATCGGGAGTTAAATTGAACTACGTTCTTGCTCAAGTTGAACCGTAGCTTCGTGTAAGCTAGGATGAAGTGCGATAATATGGGTCAACTTAGTGCCTTTATTAGGGCTACAACAAATGTGAACGATGCTATGATTCAAAACGCTCTAAAAGTTCCAACCGCGCATTTTTAAGTGTTCATTTACATTAAATTTGGCATAAATGAAGGCATGTATCAGATTCATTTCTTTTAAAGTTTAATAATGAAAACACGAATCAGGTTTACATCTTTAAAATGTTATCAATGGAGGCATGTCTCAGGTTCATTTCTTTTATAGTTTAATAATGAAAACACTAATCAGGTTTACATCTTTAAACTGTTATCAATGGAGGCATGCCCCAGGTTCACTTCTTTTAATTTTTTCAGTCTAGTTTTTTAATATAAAGCATAAAAGATTTAATTATTTTAATTATTCATTACGTTGAATATTTGTAACTAGCAAATATTTTAATAAATAAAATTGCAAGAACTTTTTTTTAAAATTAAAATTACAAATTATGTTATATTTTAAAACAATTTTTTCCTTCAAAATTGTGTCTTTAAAATTTATGGATTTTCTTTAACTATTATAGCTTTTATGTGAGGTTTGTTTTAGTAATTTTCCATCTTTAACGACATTTATTACACACTCTCAAACTCGTCTGTTACTACACTGTGAAAAATTCATGATCAAATTCCGTTATATTTGAACATAATAACCGTAAAATATTATACCGTAATTTTTACAGCAAAATTTATTTAATTGGAGTGATTCAGTGATTTTACAGTAATTATTACTGTAAAAATTACAGAATGTTAGATTTTTTGTTCCGTAACATATTCCGGTAAAAAATAGGTTTTACGGTAAAAAGTACCAGTAGTTTAAGTGCCTGCATTTTTTACTATAATTTGAACAGGAAGTTTTCATTGTGTATAAATAAAACCCTACATTGAAATAAATTTAAAAGTTAGGATTATTTAAGTACGTTAAGTATTCTAGTTATCTAAATCTTTTATTGAGTTCTTTGTGGTATCATTACGTATTTAATGCTTGTCATATAATTCTGTTTTAAACTATTTTTACAAGAAAAGAGAGAAGAAATCGAATTGTTGCTTGAAGAGAAATAACGACTAAAAATGATTGTCTTCTTTACGAAGTTCAAAACAGTGTATTAATTTTTTTTAGTTTTTATTTATCGGATCTGTACAATTTACAATGTAGGCATTTACCGTGTTGGTTTGCACAAATTACAGTGTATTTTTTACAGCTTAGAGCGTAAGGATCATAACAATTCGCTTCTTCATTTCTAATTAGGGGAAATTATTAAAATGTTTGATTTTTTTTGTGATTTAACTTTGCTATTGTTCGACGCTCAGCACATATGGCATGCAAATTATTGGATCTCCATGTTTTCGGATATGAATAGCGGTGGTTTAATTTGGCGTTCTGCAAACATTTGAATCGAAACATTTCAGCAGATATATGAGCAGCCATAAGTATACAAATTATTAAATGATTTTATTGAAACAACATCTGTTAGTTATTCCTTAAACAAAGGAATGAAATTTTCACGAACAGCGGATTATTATTTTTCAGACAACTTTAATAAATTAATTCAATTTCCAAGAAGTTTTTGAGAAATTCGTAACTACAAGATTTTATGCAGGGTTTTTAAGACTAATCCAGCAATTTAGTAAAATTTTCTGTCACCGACTAAATATTAAGGACAAATTTCGGTTTGGACAGTAATAGGTTAAGCAAGTTTTTTTTTTAAAGAAAATATAGTGAAGTGAAATGAAATAATACTAAGTTATTAATTGTTAGTATGATATAAAATTACCTTTTCAGGAAGTTGATATTCTCTTCTTGCCTTTGCAATCCAGTAACCATCATTATAGTCTGAAAAGCTCGACGATCCAAAACCCATAATAAGGCATCAGTTACAGCTAGGAATCAAACATTGTCGCCATTAGAAGATCTTCAACTTTTTCTTTATGAATCACCCTTTTATTTTTAACTCAGAAAATATTTTTAGACTGATTAAAAATGCTGTTCAATGCTTCGATATCGTCCATTTTTTTAGATCGTTAAGAGATTTGTTAGTTTGTATTTTTATTAGTAAAAATACTATGGTGAATGATGCATGATATATTTTTTTAAAAATTTATCATTGTAATATGATACATTTCCTAATGTGGGTTAGTTTTAAGAACAAAATTTTAAATATTCTGTAAAGTATTATATAGCATATATTTGAATAATATTCATAAGATGTGATAATAATTTACCATCATCGTGGTAAAATATGTGTTGAAAACGCAATGATTGGGATTCAAAAAATTCATTAATAATAAATTATTATGATAGTTTTATTTAAGGACTATTTCAAATTTTAAACTACAATCTCAATTTTAGATTACATAAGAAGTAATAGTGAATAAGTATTTTTTTGAAAGGATTTTGCATTTAAAGCTATATGTAAAATCCTATATATATATTGAGTTAAAATTTTGCATCAAAGCCACCAAAAAAGTTATTTTTAATTAATTAATTAATTAATCTATTTTTAATCTTTTAATCTATTTTTAATTAATATTTTTAAGTAATTAATTGATAAATCTATTGTTAATTAATTAATTAATTGATTAAATTAATAATTAATCTGTTTTCTTTTAATTAATTAGTGTAATTCGATTAATTAACTTAATTTCTTTATTTTTAATCTTCTTTTTAAATTATTTATTTAAAAACTACGGCCACTAGAAAACTACTTATTTTTCTTAACTTTCATTACAACCTTTTTTTACTTAAATTTTCACTAATTTCTAATTAATTGTTCCGAATTTTCACATTTTTTGACACAATTTTCATTAGAAGATATTAAAAGAAAACATTACTTACTATAATTAAAAAAGCACAAATAATTCGATAATTTGACGTACCTCTCACAGTTGCTGTACGAGTGCAGTTGTAGAGTATAGCTAGTTCTCCAAAAGCCTTTCCTGGTCCCATCTTGCCTAGTACCGAATCACTCTTCTTAACCTCCAATTCTCCTTCTAAAGTACACGAAAAGTTAAACTTCTTGTTAACTTATTTAACTTATAACTCTTAAACTTAAACTTTTTAACTTGTTAAACTGATTTGTCATGGAAAAATTATATTCTTTAGCAAATATTATCATTTTCTAATCCTTCATTCAACTACATTAGTTGCTATTAAAAAAAAATATGAATTCTAAGACTTGTAGAAGAATTTAAAATCTTTCTATAACATTTTGCTTTTTTAAGGAATCTTAAAATTATGTAGAAAGTCTTTTATAAAGACACAGACTAATACATTTGATTATTAATAAGAAATAATCAAGAATGTATTTATGATTATTTCTATTGAATGTATATATGAATAAATGAAAATATATTCTTTAGTAAATATCATTATTTTCTAATCATTCATTCAAATACATTAGATGCTATTAAAAAAATATGAATTCTAAGACTTGTAGAAGAATTTAAAATCTTTTTATAAGATTTTGCTTTTCTAAGGAATCTTAAATTATGTAGAAAGCCCTTTATAAAGACACAGACTAACACATTTGATTATTAATAAGAAATAATCAAGAATGTATTTATGATTATTTCTATTGAATGTATATATGAATGAGTGAAAATATATTCTTTAGCAAATATTATCATTTTCTAATCATTCATTCAACTACATTAGTTGCTATTAAAGCCATTTTGCTTTTTTAAGGAATTTTAAATTATGTAGAAAGCCTTTTATAAAGACACAGACTAACACATTTGATTATTAAATAGAAATAATCAAGAATACTTGATAAACAGAGAAAAATAATAGTAAGATATTATATAAAAAATTTACCCATATTCGATGAGCTTTCGGTAACATCACTTTTTGATATTAATAAGAAAACACATCAAGAAATTGCTATATTGTCTTGGTGCGACATATATCAAATTTTTTTAAAATATAGCCTGATTTTTATAATTATTTTTTATCATGGAGCCAAAAACGCTTGAAAATATAAACAGCCGTTTTGATTACGGATTCTGAAATAAAATAACGTTCAAATAAATTCTGGCATGTACGAAGTAAAATTTTTATATGCGTGTGCGTAGAAAGTTTTGCGTGCCTTCTTTTTAGAGTTGATGTTTCTATGTATATTACTTCCTCTCTGACTTCAAGTTTCATTATTTGCTGAGTTGTATCAATTATTTAACAGCACTTTTTGTAACCTTCACGGTTTTTGATTAATATCTACTCTTTCATGTATCTGAATGTTACAACCCCAAACAAACATCTAAAGCGTTAATAGTGAATCTTTTTATTTATTTTTTCACGAATGCTTTTTTAAGATTTGAATAAACTGAATTTCTAAAATCTATTAGTATTTATGTCTTTGACTCAGTTGATATTCGCGCGTGCATAGACAAAGTAATAACTTTTGGACCTATTTTTTGTTCGTTTATATTTTAATACAACTGTATTGACAATCTTTAAAATTTTAAATCGACGAACAATGTTTATTTATTCAATCGAATCATAAATGGCAATAATAATAACTAAAATAATATTATCCCAAATTATTCCCTTTATTAATCTATAAATATGTATCAAAATAATTTTACTATGCTTTCAAGAATGATTCATTTCATTGTCTTTATTAGAAAAATGTTTATTTAAAAAAGCAATCTTCACTTTAAAAAAAAAATTAGATGGTTAATGTTTCATGAAACGATTTACAATAGAGAATATTTTCCTTATGTGAATTAATGTCCAAGATTTGAGATTTGATTATTTTTTATATTCATTTTTTTTTCAATCAAAAGATATTTCATCAACGTTAGAAGAGTTATAAATTTGAACAACAACACAAACCTTAATTGTTTTTGTTCCTAATATCCTACTTCTTAAATATTGATGCTATTGCAAATTGACAACTCGCGAACACAACATTTAAAAATACAGCTGATATATGTTAGTATGTTTGCTAATAACAGACATTCGATAACCCTTTTTCATTTTAGTCAATGAAAAATATTGAACCGTGGTGGCTCAGGGATAGAGTGTTCGCCTTCCAATGAGGTGAACCGGGTTCAAATCTCAATGTTTTCTCATCGATGCGAATTATACACCCGGCTCACACTGATCACAGTTTTGACGTAAAATATCCTCAGTGGTAGACGGATCATGGGTTAAAGTCCCCTTGCCATGGGGCAAACCGTGGAAGGCAAACCATTTAACTTAAATGCTGGTTAGAAAGGCAAAATTTCTCCCAATACATGATCCAGGAGTTCCCTTGTCTTCTGGATTGGGTTCAAAATTACAAGGCTAAGGAGTTGAACATTTGTAGTCCTAAACCCAAAATTGGGTCGTCTTTCAACTACGGTAAAAAATATAAAATAAAAGACATTGAAGTACGGTCTCCTTTTTTACAGGTATAGATACTGCAGCAAGAGAGATAATCAGTACTAATAAGTCACTTTATAGCGTATGCATTTTTTAATAGTATCAGACAAAACGTGTTACTTAAATTAGTTATAATTCCTCCGTATATTTAACTGTCAAAAACATAAAGGGGAAAACCAAAATGCAAAAGAAAGAGAACTTTTGGATTTTGTCCAAATCCAAAAGTAAGCGATTTAGTTGCGAAATCACTTTGACTGAGCGAAATGCATGTAATGCCAGATACACGCACATTACATGCCTTAATGTAAGTGACGTAAAATTTTTAAAATGAATACCTTTTTAGTGATATATTTTAAAAGAAATAGTATCATTTATTGCACTCATTTATAGATTGAAAAATTTTTTTTTTGAAATTAAGTTGATCTAATTTCAGAAATATTGCAAAAAAAAAAAAGAAAAAAAAAAGAACTGCCCTTTTAAATTTTTAACTTTTCATGATGCCATTGGAAAAATCCACGATTATTTTAGGTGTTTTCTTGTAAAAAATATTTTAGTTCTTACGCAAGTTAATTAAATTATATTTTGGATCAATGTGAAACAGGAGTTGATATTTTATATATTTAATTTAATTCTCACTAAGTTCGGTATTAAAAAAAATTATGGCTTCCATTCCGGTATTATTTTGTTGAACAAAAAATAATAATAATTTTAAACTTTTATTTAATACTCCCAATTCTTTTTTTGAATAATTTTAACTTTAAAAAAACAGTTTTGACAAAAAAATAGGAATAAGTTTTATTCATCAAAACTCTTTAAGAAGATTAATCAATCGAAATTGAGATTTAGAACATTAAAAAAGTTAATTGCAAAAGAAAAGTTATCGAAATATTTGTGAAATCAAACACTTCATGCTATCTAGAGTTCCGATATCTAATGAAGTTAGAAAGTTGCGACATACGGGTAACATTCTCTGAATTTTTGAGAAACAAACATTACCAAAGAGAAACAAAACAAACATTCCATTTTCTCGTTAACTTAATCTGGAGTCTCCTACAAGATATTATTCAATTGAATTTCAATTAAAGGTATGTATTCATTTTTATTTCTTTTAAAATTAATCTTAATTATTCAAAGTATCTATTAAACGCTCAAATGTAGTTAGATAGCAAAGAAGTCAACACAGCTGCAAAGAAACTCATGGATACTATTTATTAACTTTCTAATTTTAATTAATTGTACAAATTTGTCATCCTTTAAACAATAATAAAATTAAACATAAAACAGAATTTCAATAACGATAAAACAAACTGCTAACGAAAAGCTCACAACTCTGATTAAGAAAGCGGAGCTCGAAATTTCGCCAAGTGTTGCAACACTTTCAGCTATTTTGCTCTTTCGTAAACTTTATTCGTCAATTTAGGAGCTGCTGTCGTAACTCTCAAACGTAAGAGAGGTATAGGGTCTCTCATACAATCCTTTCAGTTTATTTTCGTTCGAATCAAACAAAAATTACCGATTTAATTACCTGCTGAGACATACAGGTGTCTCCCGGGTTCCCCTTCTTGTATAACCATGGAATTGGCCGATACTTCTATTGGATACATGCAGTCAACAATTTCTTTCACCTGTGATGAAGATACCATATGCTGGAGGAAATCGTTGCCCAAAATAGCATCCTTAATCAACTGCTTCGATCTGTAATATAATATCAGTTTATTGTGTATTGCCGAACTAAAACTCACGAACTTATTTTTGAGTGAGGATTATTCACATTTTATTTTAAGAACACACTATATGAAAGGTATTGCTCTGAAGGCATAAAACAAAAATAGTAGCAATAATTGATTTAGTAGTTTTTAGAGTTTGACGATACATGCCTCATTTTTAGAATACAAGACGCAATATGAACTTCCTATTTACCTTTTTAGCATGTTATAAACTGCAAAATATAATTGTAAATGCTACAGAAAAAGCGTATTTTTTTTTACAGAAAAAGACTGTCTAACGATAACAACAGATTTTTTTCTGTTTTAAAACGTTACCGCGCATTACAAAAAATTTCCGTTTTTTTGGAGACTTTCACCGTATATTTCATGGTTTAAAGCTGTTTTTTTCACAGAGCAACTTTGTTTTGTTTTACTGCTAAAACTGCTAATTCAAATTCTAGTGTTGCTTAAGGTAAGATAACTTTTATCGATTTTTCTAGTCATTCTACGATTGTTTTCAATACTTGCACTTTTCAGAAATTATTTTACCGTTTTGCTCAAATTAATGAAATTTTAATTTATTAAATATTTTTAAAATAAATAATGGTCTTAAGGTTTTTAATATTGCTCTTCTATATCTCGGGGTTTCACTAAAAGACGGCCGACAATTTAAAGTTCTGTAGCAAAAAGAAAAAAATAAATAAATTGGGAATTGCTTCTATCAATGCAATGAAAAATTTTCCTTAAAAGTACTATTTATTAATGAATTTATATTAAATATATCAAATATGAAGCCTACTAAGCTTCAAATTTGATTTTTAAAACCACTAGTATAACTGGAGAACCTTAGGCAAGGGACGAATGTCTTGGCATAGGCTTGTTGAGAAGGCCAAGGCCCATCCTGGACTGTCATGCCAATGAGAAGAAGAAGAAGTATATTTATTACTGTCACAATTTTCCAGAAATTTTTTCTCTTCCCGGGGTTCCCAATTTTTTTCGGTTACATAACCCTAAATGATTGACCTTCTTTTAGAAGAATCTCGAGAACTAAAAACCATTAAATCAATCAACCAAAAACCATTATTTATTTAAACATGTTTAATAACATAATGGTTTTTAGTTGATTAATTAATCAAAATTGATTAATTATTTTGAAATATTCTATGAATGAATGAAGAAAGAATTTTTTCACCGTGAAATTTAAACAATACTAGTCTTAATATTGGATATCATATCAGTCAGTTGAATTTACAGGCCCTAAAGTGGCATATAGTATAGTTCATTATTTTATTTTATTACATGCAAAAATTGAAAATGAACGAGCTAAAATACTGTTCTCGTTTAAATAAAAATAAAAAAGGACAAAAATAAACGCTGAGAATTGTTTTACAGATGAATATTAAATAGCTATTACAGAATTCGGTAACTGATAATATTGTTCTAATTTTTCGGAACCCCTGTGACCTTTCCATGGCACCCAAGGGTTCCGCGGATTATGATTTGGGAACCCCTGATTTATAGTATATAGGCATAAAACTATTTCTGAAATACAAAAAAAAAAAAAAAAAAAAAAAAAAAAAAAAAAAAAAAAAAAAAACAGTTTTCTCGAAAAAGAAGGAAAAAAAACTTGAGTGGCGAAAAAAGAAGTAAATAATAAAATATAGAGGCTTACTTAAAATCTTTTTCATGTTTCTGTATTTGATAGTCAGCAGCCCCTTTCGACGAAAGAGTCACAGCACTTTCTCCCGACACTCCCTGCTTTTTACCAGAGGGTCCACCAGTGACCGGTAAGGGACTAATTTCCAGGTTATCCTGTTTTGGAGCTGAGTTAGATATGTTATTTCCCTGAGCTTTTTCATGAGCAGTTATTTCCAATACCGACTGAAAGATAAATATTATATTTAATAGCAATATAACAGGTGTCACACGTGAGAAACAAGCAAATATTTATACAAGGTTTGTTTTTATAATCTTATTTCGGCTCTTCGAGTAGAAATATGTTGTGTTACATAACACAGCCGGCATATATCAGATTCTTTTACTTATATCTTATTAATTATTTATTAAATCTATAATTATAATTGTTATTTATGAAAAAATAAAATAATTAACACGGCAGATTAAATATTGAAAATCATATGGTAATTTAAGTAAAATATTACTTTTTGCAATGTATTAGTGAGTTTAATAGTTAAGAATGTTGATACCCCCACTAAAAATAATCTTAAGATTTTCTTAAGAAAATGTCATTTTCTTAAGATATTCTACAGAAATCTTAAGAATTTTTTAAGATTTAATTCTATCTCCAAAATATCTTAAGAATTTTTGCAGATATTTTACAGACATTTTGAATATCGTTAAGGTGAATTAAGTTTGTCTTCAAAAATTCTTAAGAAAATCTTAAGACAGATTCCTGAGTTAGAATTACCTTAAAGCATATTAAGATTCTTTAAAATATCTCAAGAATTTTTTCAGACATTTTATAGACATTTTGAATATCTTTAGGGTGAATTAAGTTTGCTTTAAGAAAATCTTTAGAAAAGTTTCCTGAGTTAATGTTACCTCAAAACATCTTAAGACTTTTTAGAATATCTTAAGAATTTTTGAAGACACTTTAAATATCTTTAAGGTGAATTAAGTTTGAACAAAGATTTCTTAAAATTTTTTTCAGTTCACCCAAAATTTGTCTTGTGATATTTTCGATAACGATCAGATCTTAACACATCAGAGAAAAAAACCCCGAAACATTAGTATTAAATATAAAGTTCTTGAAAATATATATTTTTAAACATTTATACCACGGGTGTGCTATAAATTTTTAAAATTATAACAATTCAATCAAAGATGGAATCTTCGAAGATTTTCGTTTCTGTCATATACTGTGTTAATCAGTGGTTCAACAGAATCTGTGTTGACTTCCATTAAATTATCAGCAAACTGTATTGATTTTTCAAGCCTCTGAATGCCAGCAGCAGTTGAGAAGTTCACCAATGCCAATCTCTCTAAGCTTTCTACAGTTTCTTTACTAACTGAATGCAAAACTGAGTTTCTTGGGAAGGTTCAAGTAGAAATTTAAATAAATGCTTTCTACGCAAACTAATTAGAGAATAACTCATTATGAATATCACTGTTTGAATTCTTTTTGTTTACCACTACTCTCATCAGACTAAGAACAAAACATAAAAACAGGAAAATTTCTACAGATAAGACTAGAAAATATCAAAACTGTGGCAACTGTCTTAATGTGGAACTGACACCATATCATGTTTTTAACTGCCCTGCAGTCGCTGCAGGCCTTCACCTCTTAAACTACCCCACAGAAGAGGATTTGTATTCTTTTAATGCCATAGAAATAACAAAAACTATTCAAGCACACCATGAAATATTATTCAATAGAGGATACGACACCAACCAACCAAAGATGAAATCTACTATTTAATCTTTTAATGCATTTTTATTGTAATGTATAATTTTTCGTATTTTATTAATCCGTTCACTATAGGTGCATTGTGCAGTGTGCAGAATTAGATACTGTGCAGAGTGCATTGTACAATAAGCAGAAGAAACATATCATCCTGAATAACTTTTGATCTAATGATCGTACCTTCACATTTCAGGACTCAATCTTAATGGCTTGAGGGGACGACTACAAATATACTAATTAATTAGTGAAGACGACACTTTAAGTTGCGAAATAAGACACAAAAATGTACTTTCTCTGAAAAAAACATACCTTTTTATCCTCAAGGATTTGGATTCATGATTCTAAGAATGTAAGGGGTAGCTACAATCTGAGAAATATTGAACCAATAGTTTGGTCAGGAGAGGGGTTCAAAGGTTGGACTCTTTAATGTCAATTTTACTTTTTGGTATTTCACCATATCTCGATAACTTTTCAGGTAAATTGAGATTTTTTTGTAGACAATCGTTTATCGAAAAAAAAAATTCTATGCAAAAAATAATTTGTAATAACTATTTATTATTTAATTTAATGATATTTGTGAAATTCTAATTTGTAAGGTATACAAATTTTTACATCATTTTAAAGAATGTAATTTTATAAAGTAAATTACATACAATACTTTTATGGTATTTCACCATATCTCGATAACTTTTCAGGCAAATTGAGAATTTTTTTTTGTAGACAATCGTTTATCGAAAAAAAAAAATTTTATGCAAAAAATAATTTGTAATAACTATTTATTATTTAATTTAATGATATTTGTGAAATTCTAATTTGTAAGGTATACAAGTTTTTACATCATTTTAAAGAATGTAATTTTATAAAGTAAATTACATACAATACTTTTATGGTATTTCACCATATCTCGATAACTTTTCAGGCAAATTGAGAATTTTTTTTTGTAGACAATCTTTTATCGAAAAAAAAAAATTCTATGCAAAAAATAATTTGTAATAACTATTTATTATTTAATTTAATGATATTTGTGAAATTCTAATTTGTAAGGTATACAAATTTTTACATCATTTTAAAGAATGTAATTTTGTACAGCAAATCACATATTTAAAATAGTTTCTAAGATATCGAATTTTAAATACCTGACTTTTTTCTAGTACGTAAGAGTCCGATCAGTACGTCAAAAGTTATTCAGGGTGGTTCGTTTTTTTGCTTACTGAACAATATTACTTAAATTGCTTAAGTAATACACAGGTTAATTTATATTATTAATGCAGTTTTCGTAGTTTGAAGGATTTTGCCTTAGCGTTTATAGTATTTTTTTTTTTAACTATACCCTGACTTTTACATTACTTTTTTATACAGTCTTTAAAAAATTGCAGATATTTAAATCTTTGAGAAATATAAAGTATCCCCTGAAGAAAATTAATATTTTTTTTCATGGAACTTTTCAAATTGTTATAATATCTTCATACAATTAATGACAAAGAAGCTGCAGTATATAACTGAAGTAGTTTTTATGTAATATAGAATTTTTTGTATTGCGTTTAGAGTTTTTAATACATATTTCTCAAATCATAAAGATATATTTTGTTCAGGTATATGGTCTTTTAAAACAATAAATAAAAGATCTGTATATTTTATTATATGATTGGTTTTTATATCTTAAGTGGTAGTTTCACTGTGAACTCCATATAAAGGGGATTCTCATGAAATAACATAATCGAATATATGTTTATGTTTACACAATCACTAAATCCTTTAAAACTATAAACACATTTTTTTGGAATAACTTTTACAAAATAATACCTTTTATTTTCTAAATTAGAGAAAAATAATTCACATGATGGGTTTAGAATTCCTTAAAAAGGGATGAACTTGTCGAAATTTTTTCCTAAAATAAAACGGACATGCTTTAAACAAAAATGCTTTAAACAAAAATACTTTTAAAAATTAATTCTTTATTTCTTTGAATGAATTTTGCGTCGTCGACATTTTGCCTAAATAAAGGAGGACATGTTTTTAACAAAACTATTTTCATAAATTAGTTCTTTATTTCTTTGATTGAATTCTTCGTCGTCAATTAATTCTTTATTTATTTGATTGAATTTTGCGTCGTCAGATACACTCGTCGACATTTTTCCTAAAAAAGGGAGGACATGCTTTTAACAAAATGGTTTTTAAAAATTAAATTTATTTTAATTGAAATCAATTCTGCTTCGTATGATACACTCATCGAAACTTTTCTTTCAAGAAAAAAAAACATGCTTTTAATAAAAACGTTTTGAAAATTAGCTCTTTATTTCTTTTAATTTAATTGAATTCTGCGGAATTAAATTGATTTACATTTCTAATATTTCCTCGAATGGATGTAAAACGAAAAAAAATGGAAGAAGGCAATATTATTTAATAAGACTTTTTTTAATCCGATCAATGTTAATTTCAATTGAAAATTTTCTTTATTGCGTCATTCTTCAGTTTCTTTTTTTAGAAACAAGTGAACCTTGAGGAAATAATTGCTTTGATGGGGAGTTGATAAAGCTTTCCGCGCTTTCTTCGTTAGCACTAACTTACAATAAATAACAATTAATAATGACATTTTTACTGACAACTTCTGACTTACACATTATGTAAAATATCGGATGATGTCTTTGCATTACGAAAATTACGAAACTTAAACTTTCATTTGAATGAGCAAAATCATTATTAGAGCAAATATATAAAAAGTCATTGCAACGCAAATGTTTGCAAAAACCTTGCTTTATTTCAAAGTTACTTGAGAATATTTTTCCCACAAAGAGAAAAAAAAATTAATTTATATTTAAAAAATAGTTTAGTTGTTTTAAAAACACATCACCATCTCTGCTTTTTTCTAAATTTTTTTTTTCTGGCGTAATCTACACTGTAAAAAATTTGGTAAAAAATACCAGCATTCAAAGTAACGGTACTATTTACTGTTAAATCCATTTTTACTGGAATATATTACGGAATTAAAAAATTTTACATACCATAATTTTGTCGTAAAATCACTGAATCACTTTAATTAAATGAATATTACTGTAGAAAATCACGCTATAATATTTTACAGTAAAAATGCATTTTACGGTAAAAGGCATTTTACTGATGATGCAACCAAAGTACCCGGTACTTTATACCGTAATTTAATCCTTAATTTTTCACAGTGTAGGAATTTTAAAATTTTGGTACAACTGAAAATACTTTTAAGATGTTTTACTGGAAATATTTCATTTAGACAGTTGCAAATTTACAAAAAATCTCATTTATAATAAAGAAATAGATTTATTCTTCTAAAACACATACTACAATTTTTTCTTGTTCTCAAAAAATGTTTTTTTAATATAATCTTGAATTTTGAAAATTCAAAACTGTAAAAGAATAAAAAGTGTTTTTGTCATGTATGCTAAAAAACATTTAATTTAAGTGATAGAATGTTTGCAATATG